ACTAAAATTTTTCGATTCTGATCAGTGTATCGCAGTATATCTTCAAAAAACACAAGTGCGCCATAATACCCACCTGCGTTACAATACCCACTTTCACCTTATTCTACTAGTTTTTTACTAAGACTATTTCTATAAAGATCCATATAACGCCAACATTTTCTTGAAAATTTTCTAATAGTTATTAAAGAAACTGATTCAAGACTTTTAGGCACAGTTTTTTGTAACCTCTCCCATGAATAATCACAATTCTCACGTGTGTGCCTTTTAGCAGCCCCCAATATCTCTCAATAAAATTCAACTCGCAGTGAAATTTGGGAAAAAAGATGCATTTATGTCCTGCATTTTCAATCAATTTTTCAATCACATTTTTTTGGGCAAGAAAATCTGGTTTCAAAAATAATACTCAACGTGCACAACAAGAAATTCTTGAAGCATCTTTGATTTTTTGTTTGCATTATTTACATTCTAAAACTAACTCTTCAGATGGCCATTTTTTTCGTTCTATTAGTACTTGTTTAATACCTTTAGGTTTGCCTCGAAGTTCTTGATCTAATTTCTCATATTTTTCCTCATATAACTTCATATCTGAATCTGTTTCTGGGAATACCATTGATTGTAACTGATTATTTTCTCCAAAATAAGTATTACGCATTATTGGTTGTTTTCCACCTGGGCCTAGATTCATCCTACTTGCAATTAAAGTGTCTTCACTAAATGCACCATGATTAGAACTATTATCAAAAGCGAACACTGCTACACAATCAGGATATAACATCTCAAAAATGGGAATCACCTTGTATTGAATTTGTTCGAGAAGGTGCTTCGTTGTCCAGTAACCTTCTTGATTTACGCCAGGTATTAGATAACATCATGCTTCTTTAGGTATGTCATATCTTTCTATATCAGATTGTTGTAAGCGTAGATGTCCATCAGCTTCAGTAAGAAATTCACTAACCATGATCAACCTCCCATTTCCTTTTTTTCGTAGCGGCATCCTTCCATCTTTAATCCATATACTACGTTTACCATCATTTGAATAAAATATACATTCGTCATGTACTACAAGAATTCTTTCTTTCTCTTCTAGAAGTAAATTAGGACGTACCCTTTCCATAAACCTTCCTTCATATTTTGACATATACTTTTCATGCTCAAACATTTTTTCTAAAAATTCTTTTCGATATTTCAAAACGTCTTTCCTCTCATGACCGTCATAATATATCCCTTGACAGTATCGTTTGAATGAATAACCAAGAATTTTTAGCCATTTCTTTGCAGTTTTTAAACTTATAGTTTTTTTTTTTAAAATTCCAATATTAGAAAGCAACTCCTCTTCGATAAATTTTTTAAGTCCAGCAAGATTAACTTTAAAATTTTGACTTCTAATCCAAGTATGGCATTTATCTTTAATATCTTCATCGTCAATTATTCTAATTGTTTTTTGGTGTTTTCCATGTCTAGACGGTGGAAGTTTATCATTAAGTAACCAATATTTTGTAAGGTATTGTATTTTTCGTGCTTTCCATACACCACCATCGATAAATATCTTTTGCGCAACCTCCAAACTAGCTTTAATTTTGCCACGTCCATTGTTATTACTTAGCAAACTAAGATATTCAAAAATGGCCCTTTTATAGTTATATTCTTTAACTATTAATTTATTATGGTCTTGTTCTAACTGTTTTTTTAAATCTTTTGCTTTACAGGCATATAAGTCAACTTCACTTTCTGAATTGCTTGAGGCACATAATTCTAAATCGCTTGACGCTTCTAATTCATTAGATTTAGTATTATTAAAAAAGCTGGTAATTTTTTTGGTACCAACTGCTGCTTTAGTATAAGTTCTATTCAGTCCATATTTATCATAATAAGTTGACTTTGGTGTCTTGCCTTTCATATATAGGCCTCGTTTGATTTTTTCTAATTGATTGTCATTTTTCCATACTAAGTTAAATTCTTGAACAGTTTCAATATTCTTAGTATCATCCCATCCACTATCTTCCTTATCTCCTCACTCTAAATCATCAACATTCAAATCCTTGCTTCTATTGCTAACATCATCATCATTCCTATTATATAATTCACTCAATTCATCTAACACATCATCTTCGCCGTTGTACTGTCCTTTAACATTTCTACTGCGATTTCTAGCTTTTCTTTTTCTTTTAGAGAGAAGGGGCATTTTTACTTTTACATGTGGTTAATAGATGTGTGCGACTCTTATTGATGGTTTATACTGCTGGTATTTTTTTTTTTTGATAATTAATCATACGATAAAATGTAGGTTATTAATTTATAATGTTCTTTTATAAGCATTCCAGGTGTGTCTTCTTACATCCAAGAAAACATTCTACCGTCTTCTATTTTATCTAATGTATTATTCGATCAATGGCTAATTTGTTATTTTGAAGGCTTAGACAGTACAATAGGTGTATTATTTCCAATTATTTTCTTTTTTTTTATAATTCATTTTAATGCGCTTTTACCATTATTAGCGTCATTAGCCTTATTTAAATTTTGTCTATTTATATTAGTTTATTAATTTGATTGATTTTTTGACTACACATTATTCTTAATTGCTTTATTTTTTTAAATTAGATCTCTAATTGTGTCAAAGTTTTTCTTATTAAGGTCTTAGATAATGTTCGTTCGTGATATGTTTGTATGGAAGCCATTTATAAAATGAAAATAGAAGATTCACACATCTAGTTAATCGAGAAATCTATATTGCAGTAAGTATCTTTTAACATGAATATTTTTGTTTAAATCATTATTTTTATGCCATTCAGATACACTATACTCAATATGTAATTACTTTCAAATGTTATGAAAAGCATCACATTACACAGCATATTTATTTGAACTATTCTGGTAGGTAATTTAGACTGAGAGGTGATTTTTATTAAAATTTTAACGAAATACATCATCGAGAAACAAGAAATTGGCTAAATTAGCCATAATTGTATTGAAATCTCACGAAAGCAGCAATTATAATTGCATTGAGAGTTGTGTGGGAATAGCTAATAGTTCCTTGTCAAAGCAAGTAGCTGTGAGTGAAAAAACGATAGGATTATATTTCTCCTGGGTTGGTGGTGAGAATTTTGGATCAAGCACTGTTCTTAAGTCTTATATAGTTGTTCATTATTATGCTAGTTCCTCTAATTGATTTCTTATGCTGAGCATATGTCTTGACATACATTATCGATGCTGTCTGACCTTCTCACGCCATTATCTGCTACTTCACATGCTTGGCTTTTGCATGTGAAAATAATGCGAGACAGAGGTTTTTTTTCGATCATATGATTTGCGAGATTACTACTTTAGAGTCTTGTTGACTGAATTCACATATTTTTTCAGATGATTTCTTAACTAATTGGTAATAAGTACTTTTATAAAGTTTTATTATTAATTTTGCGATTACATTAAAATGCCAGTTTCGAGTAGCAAATACAATAAATAAAAGCCATATAAAATGTAAGAAGTGGGTTAATAAACGTTAATCTAATAATGGCATTTATTTTATGAATTATCTACGGTGTCATGTGATTTGTATCTGGTTTCTGATTGGATAAAATAGGATGATCGATGTCCGAAATTTAAAGATTTAATAATAAAAATGTACAACATTTAACCTTAATACTTCATGAAAATAAAAATAATTAAAAAAAAATAAACCATAAATCTAATAAAGAAGCATTTGATTTATTATTTTTATAGTTTAAATTTTTAATTTTACTTTAATAGAAAAATTAGTTATTGTTTGAAGTTGTACAAATTTGTTTGATGACTATAGATGACAAGAACCATATTAGAAATTTACATGCAAATTTCCACCCTATATCCCTATATCCATATATATAAAAGACATATACATTATATTTGATACATTTCTACGATAATTTTAACATTATAAAATGTCAGCACGTTTAATATTACTAAAGTTTTGTTTATATACTTACCCAACATGTTTAGTGCTGTAGTGTGTTTAGCCTGTGCAAAAACATATATATTTCAAATTACAATGTAATTTATTTGTATAAAGTAATATAAATTGTATATATAACATAACATAAATTGTAATTTATCGTTATGTATCGATCATGCCGAAATTAATAACTTAACTAGATCAGTCAAAAAACTTTTCAACAAATTTTTATCAGGTGATTCAGAAATCATAAAAACAAAGTGGGTCTACAGGTTGGTTCATGGGTAGCCCACAGGTTAATCCTCGAACCCTACCTAGATAAACCCCCAGGTCTACCCGTCCAGTCTACTCAGATAGGCACAATTACAACCTGGATACCCAACCCACCTAGGTATATCCGGTTTAACCCAATCTGGGTTCAATCACTAGTCTGAAGATACCTGAGGTTTCTTATTGATACTGTTATTGATGAAGATTTATACGTAAAATATCAAGAAGCAGGGCATATATAGTTGGTTTGTGCTTTGGGTTAAGCTTTTTTTCTTGATAGACTCCCTCGCATGTTTGGCATCCAAGCCAAAAGGATTATTTTGGTAACAGTAGTAATAAAAAACTCCTGACTCAAGTGTTTAAAGCTTCTTAATTCAATGATAAATAACTGAAAACATCTTCATTGTCTTGAGCTTTTACAAATACAGTATTTTTCTTCCTTTGATATTTTTAGCCATAATTTTTGACAAAAAATGGAGAATTCGGCATATTTCCTCCAAAAGATTGGCAATGTTTACCATCTCCATATCAGAAAAATCTGCATAATAACAAACAATATGTGTAAAATGGACGGTGTCAGCGAATTTAATAACTAGATAAGTATTTGGAAGAATACTCTATGTATCGTATTATTGAGAATAAACAAACACGTAATCATTGGATAGGATATATAGAGATTCCAAAATTCTTATACTTTCAGATGAAAATATGGATTTAATTGAAAGAGTAATAAAAGATATACAGGTATCCACTAGTCATCTGTATATAATTTTTAGCATCTGGTTTAAGCCGCAGATAAATTAGTCTGAGTTTCTTTTCTTGCTATCTTAGAATATGAAGTTTAAATTTATTCTTTTCTTTGTATAAGAGTTATACTCCTGTATGATCTTTGCTTTGTAAGAGAGTTAAATTAAATTTTAATAAAGACAGAGACATGATCTCATCATTAATATTCAAAAAAAAAAAAATTAATAAAAATTTAAAATTAATTCAATCTTTAAATAAGCGAACTTTAAATTTATTTATTTAAATCGATAAACCAAATTATTATAATTGAAGTATTAAGTTCTCTGTTTTAAATTACTAATTTTGTATATATAAATCTATAGTCATTTGTCTTTTTTTAGCAATGCTATCAAAGTGTGGCGACTTAGTGAAGTAGTCAAGTTGTCACCCCCAAATGGCATGTCTAGGGTTCGAATCTCACTGATGACGAAAAAAAAATTCGAATTCTACTTGTGTTACGGCTATGATCTTCCTGGTTAGTGCTATATTGCATAGTGTTTATCAAAGTTGAGGCTCAGTCCTGTAACCCGATATTCACTAATCTAAAAAGTGGGAAGACCCACATGGCATTCGTATAACGCATAAGTTATATGAAGGAATGCGAGCCAGTTAAGTATGGTGCAAACCCAAGATAAGTTCTGTGGCCACATAAATCCTAGGAACTTAGGCAAGATGGACACCTGTTTAGCAAGACCTGAATAGAGAGATAGCACATCCTTAAGTGTATGGGTTAACTCTATAAGGGCAGGGTAATTTAGAAGCAGTATAACCTGCCTGTAAAAGTATAGAATTTATCTGATAAAGAATTCTTCTGTGGTTCCTTAATTGAAATTTGAAGAAAACTAGATCACCTGTTAAAAAGTGGGTGTAACAGAGGGCACTAGTTAGAAGATCCCCTTTTCCGTTCTTATAATTAGTTGTACTTTAGACTAGTTCTTTAATAGGAAATTTGGTGTGATTTGTTATATGAAAGTGGTTATACAAGATATAAATAAATAGTTAGATTAATATATCATTGTGATAAAAAAATTGTAACTAATCTTATCATATATATGACAAAATCATAAATAAATAAATAAAAAAAAAAAAAAAAAAAAAAAAAAAAAAAAGCAATGCTATCTCTAACTACATCTTTTTTAAAACCATTTAGTTTTTGAACAAAAGATTCATCTATTTTAAATTCGTTTTCTTGATCAATAAAATGCAAAATATTATAAATACTTATAATAACTTCTTTATAAGAAATACGAACTTCAGATTCCTTTTCATCATCTTCATTGCAGTCATGATCAAGTACAGCAGTAATTATTTCATTATCACTAGGCATTATATCCATTTCAATACTATGATTGACCTCAATAAAATTTTTTGCTTGCATTGGATTAGTTACAGGAAGCTGACTAATCAGAGACTGAATTTCTGTTACAAGATCAGTATGATTTATATTCTCTAATTCTTGTGATTTTGGTAAGGTGAGATCAACTAACTCAAAATCCTCTATTAGTTCCTAGGTGGTTGATAAAGGATTATTTAAAGAAAAATAATTATCTGGAAGAATTCCAGTTTTAATCTAACAATTACAAATCGTACTATTGGTAACTTTTTTTTATGCTTTAGCAGAAAGATCAATAGCATCTTTAATATTAAAAATCAAAATATCTTTACCTGTTTCAATTGCTTCTTCATAAGCTGCTATTCAGTTTTTACAAAATAGTTTATGATAGTATGCCTTAAAACTCCAAATAATACTAGCGTCACAAGGTTGCAAATGTGTTGTTGTATTAGCGGGAAGATGATGTATTTAAATATTAGAAAAAAAAATCCTTCTTTAAGAATATGTGGTGAAGTTTGATCTATTAATAAAAGAATTTTTCTTCCTGCTCATTTCATTTGTTTATTAAGTTTTCGAATATAATGGTTAAAAATTGAAAGCTGCATCTAGGAAGAAGAATTTTAATAATAATAAACGAGCAATTTTGCCTTATCAATACATCGAATAGCATGGGGATTTTGGTATTTATAAATAAAGAGTAGAGGTAATTTATCATTACCGATACTATTATATGTTATTAGAATCATAGCATGATCCTTTGCCTTCTTTTTACCATGAACAGGCCCACTTGCAAGAGTTTTTTCAGATTCTAAGTACCAATACAAGCCAGTTTCATCACAATTATATGCATCATGTTGTTATCCTATATCCACTTCTTTAAAGATAATAGATAACTAGAGTGACTGTAGCTATTGAATACTTTGTGTAACCTAAACTAGTTACTGTATTTTGGCTAAGTTGGTATGGTGTTTTTACAAAACTTAACAAAGAAGATTTAAGGCA